TTGAGGGTGATGAGAAGTTGGAGCAGATTGCTCAGAGTTGTGGATGCCCACTCCCTGAAAATCTTCGGAACAGAAGAATTAGCATTCCTTCCTGCTCTTTGAGCTTCAGGCATGGTATGTTTATTATACTCTAGTAAGAATAGAATTTATTTTGGCATAAAAGAAATACAGAAAAGCACCATATTCCTGATTCAATGAAAAGATGAGATGGCATCACGAGACTGTCCACGAAGCGCAGCATGTTGACATTACAACTCTCCAACATTCAGTGTAAAAATTGCTCCCACAATTCTGGGAACAGAAACATCCATCCCTTTGTATATAACTGGGAAAAAAACTTCATTCAGTCTTGTGCTTTGATGGCTCTAAGACTGAAAGGGGAGCAGTTGTACTCTTTTGTAGAAGTGAGTAACATCAGCTGCATTTGCAAGTTCTGCAACCAGTGCTGGCTTTATTCTAAACTGTGGGTTATTTTAAAGGTGGACTTCCATTGCTTGCCTATCAAGGGGAGTTTCAGTTTACTTAAATTTCAGGTTACAGCTGCACAGAATGTTCAATCCAAACTCAAGCTACATATAAATATGTTCTATGTTAATTTAAGACTTTTGAGCCTGTTTACTATAGAAAAGTTCTGTGCACCCATATACTGCACTAATTTGAGTGAAACGAGCTAATTATAAGTTGATGTCATATGGCTAAAAAAACCCCATGTTTATTCCTTCCGTATTTCACAATGCTGACTTTCTCAACCACATTTGCAGAACACATGCATAATGTGTTTTCTGGGCCTAGAGTCTCACTGGATAAAGTTACATTCTTTAGTGTGCAATTTATAAATGAAAAGTTGAACCTCAAGCAAAATTTTTGTGACCTGCTTGATATCATCAGGCTGTTTGTGCTGCCTGCAAGTTCATCTTTCACTGAATGATAGCAGAATTGTATTTTTGCCAGAAAAATAAATAAAGTATACTGAGTATCTATTGCAAGTCATTGAGTATATTGTAGAGAATTTACATGTATGTTGTAGACAATATTTTGTTGTCCACATGAGCTGGAAGTAAAAATGGAGGACACATGAATATTCAAATTTGATTTGGAGAAATCGTTAAGCCTGTCTGAAAAAAAAGCGACTTGATTTCTTTTTTGTGGGCCTACCCATTATGATAGCTGTCTTCAGCCAAGTGAAGGCAAATTCACTTGGCTGAAGTTAGTTAGTTCAGTAGCACCTAAATTATGTACTATTGTGATGTTTTATTGCAACAATTACAATGGAGAAATTCACTGTTGCCTGATGAATTTAGAATCCTGAAGAAAAACTGTTTAGTGCTCTGTTAAAGGAGTGCACAGCAGGTCACTGCCCATCACAAAGCTCCTTTTGAGTATTTGTTGCTCTAAGAGGGCCTGTCCCACATATAGCTTGTGTCCAGTAATGTTTCACTGATGTATGGACAATCTATAAAGTTGTTCTGTTTTCAGTTACTTCCTCTATGTACAGTATCAAGCTTTTTCCTTTGCATAGAATTTGAAGTGTATAGATTTGGTGTGAAAGACAAACTGAAATTTCCTTCAGTCATTCATTCTCAAATCCCCAGTTAGAGCTTGCATCTCTGTACAGCATGTCCCTTGAGTCATAAATAATGCTTTCAGCAAACAGACATAGATGATTACACTAGTAAGTCACTCTCTAAATTTCTGTCTTGTTCTAGAGCCTGACTAACAACTTTAAGTAATATGTACTAATGTGTAGCTAAGATCATGCACACCTTTATTAAAGTTGGTTGGTTTTGGTTTGTTTTTGTTTTTTTTTTTTTTTTTGAGACAGAGTTTGAAAATAAATATATAAACCCAAATGCACTGCTTGAAAAGAACTCGTGTGGGGGGTGGGGAGGAAAGTAGCAGTCCATCTCTGCCTTTGATTATTTTCCAGCTGTTTGCAGAATATTACTGTTTCCTCTTCTGATAACATAAACTGCAAAAGAGGTGATTGGAGGGGACTGTGTCAAGAGTAAGATTACAGAAGATCAAGCATATCTGCAGCCTGCTTATCTAATCCACTTTTAACCTGTGGTAAGAAGGTAACTGAATTTACCTGTGTAAACAGGATGGGTATTGAGAAGAACTAAGTAAGTGCTTCAAGACTCTCTGTCCATTGGTATTCTTTTAAAAAGTTTTATAACCCTGACTAGACTAGATGGTCCTGGTTTGGCAGGGGGGTTGGACTCAATGATCCCTGGAGGTCCCTTCCAACCCCTAACATTCTGTGATTCTGTGATAACATGCAAAGACCCAATCATTACATTGTAAGTAAGTCAGAAAATTGCAGGATTTTGAATGGCAACTTAGCATCAGGAAACATTTGCACTTTTGGTAGAAGAGAACTGTGTAGGAAGACTGGGGTTTATTTTTTTTGAAGAAGACATCTTTAGTGTGAAACATCTGGGAGAAAGATACTACTGGTTCACCTGCAACAGGCCCTGTATAACTGAATAGCCTGGAACTCAGTATGAAGTCTTAGATAAAGTGGAGTAAGTCTCTTTCACTGGCTTATCATAGTCAGCATGTTAAAAACAATGTTCAAGTTACTTTAGATGTAAGTGAGATTGTGAAATACCTTTTCTGAGGAACTGAACTGCTTTTCTTACTTAAGAAGCACTTACAGGTGTTCATGCTTATTTCTGAATATTAAGTCCCAAGTGCGAAATTAATAAAGCCAAAGATAAGCCTGGATAACCTTGCCACAAGTATGACAACTTGAGTCAGGTTCTTATGCAAGGTATCAAATAATAGCAGTGAAATGACACCTTATCTACTGGCTCTCTTGAAAAAAGCTGTTCAGCTTTACAGCTGTATTGAAAGATCTGCACACTATGTGTATTCCAAGCTCAGTTTTCTCTGACTTCATTAGAAAGTCTTTGTTAAAAAACATGGCCTTATAAAGGAAAATGGGCATAGTTCAACAACGTGAAATTTTTAAATAGTTTAGCTGTTACTTGGCAGCACTTGCAAGGGTATTCTGTAATTCTTTTTAAGTGAGAGAAATCTGAAGCAATTAGGTTTCAATCAAAAAATCTTGACTAACAGTTCATGTAGTTCTTGGTTTTTTTTTGCTGGCTTTGTCAGGTTGTGAACATATGAATCATGAAATGTCACTGCGAGTAGGAGAGAAACTGAAATCAGCTGAAATCAACTGAATTTTTCTTTTCCAGAAGAAATAGAAATGAGAATATTGAAATAGTTCTGAGCTCCACATCTGACCAGGAAGACTTAATCCACCAAAAAGTTGTGCATTGGAGCAATAAGTTCTAGGATGGAATTTCTTCGGGGGATGTGTGGGTTTTTGACTGATAATTAAGGGCCTTGGCACTCTCTATCACAGAAATTGGAGTCAACACCCTGATCTGTAATTCATTGGCTTTGCAGCAAACTAGCCAATACTATACTATAGCTGAAAATCAATGAGTCTTCCTATAATTAATAATTTTTTCTACTTTATTAATGATGTATTTAAAATTAAAAATAACAGACATATTTTTAAAGCAGTATTACTTCTCATTCTCTACAAGGAAAAACATAGCATAAATAATTTCTGAGAAAAAAAATAAATACGTAATTCATTCTCTGAAACAATACATTTTTTCTCTAGGTTCTGGTCCCACATAAAATAATTGCATAATCTACCAACATCCAGAATTTCCATAGTTTATATGATTTCAGCATAAAAACTACATAGAAAATAAGAACAGTAAGGAACTGTTCATCTTAAATTGTGTTCACCTGATACTAGGCTTAGCTCTTCTACAGGATATATACAGCATGTGATGATTCACTTTCTAATAATATTCTTTAATGTAAAACCACAAACGTTAGTCTGAATGTTAAGATGCTAAGTAAAGGAAATTTGTGTCAAACTAAAGACTTACCAATGTTGCACAGACTAAAGACTTTTCTAGAGGAATTAATGACCTTAAAATAAGCAAAGGCTTGCTTTTAATGCAGGACTAGCACCTTACTTACAGAACTTGGCTTGTACAGTCTTAGCGCTATGAAGTGTGTGGCCAGATAATCCAAACTCTACAGAATAGAAAACATAAATTGAGATATCTAAACTGATACGGAAGTCAATCGTGTTCTAGGAAATAAGGAATAATCACTATCTTTTATGTGAAATTATGCACAGTTGTTAGCTGCTTAGAGGACAACTATCAGTGAGGTTATCTGGTTTGAGAGGAGTATCCTTTCATGAAATGGTTCCACTTTGTAGAATTTGTTTAATTGTTCCTAAAAGAAATAATTGTCCTTAAAACAAATATGGCTTTAGTTGTCAAATCTAAGTTTTGAATCTGTTGATCTTACAGGCTTTTCATTAAAAGTATGAAATAGATTTGTCACACTTTGTTTAGAGAACGTGAGTGTCATATTTTGATGTTTGTGTTTTAGAGGAAACAACAGGGGCATAGGACATCTGAGAGGATGTTAATTTCCTAACAGTTTGCCTTCAGTCCATGTAACTGTTGATAGCCTTGCTATTGCTAACTTTTGACAACTCAGTCAGAGAGTGGTAACTCTCCCTGTGCTTCCCTAATCACATGCTTGTCCTGCATCATGGTGCACACATAAGCGGGAAAGGGATCTCAGTGTTCTTTTCACAGAAAGTGAGTAGAATGACTTCTAACAAAGTGTGATTGTTACCATAACAGCTTCACTTTCCTCTGCCTTCCTAGTTGTACAAGCCACCTGATCTCACGTGAATCTCCAAGGTCTACCTCTCCTCTCAGACTGAATTTAGGTGTTGGTACTTCCAGCTCTGTTTATTGCAATCTCTTATCAGACCATAACTGCTTTAATCTGATAGATTTTTTGACTGTATGACCCTTTGACCCAGTTTAGCAGAAGGAATTGGAACCTACTGCAGTCAGAACATCGTGCTGCGACCTCTGAGTGCCATTTGATGTTTTCTAAAATATCCAGAGCTGCTAGGCTGTATCACCCAGAGCCACCTTCTAATAAGCATTTTCTAACTCATGCTGGTTAGATTTGCTGCTCCTGGCTCTGGAGAGACGGGGCTTCTTGTTCTTCTGAGGTCTGACAGTTTCCTTCCCAAAGTCCTTCAGCTCAGACTGGTTGTGGTAGCGAGTGTAGCGCTTGCATTTGCAGGATGTGGCAGCTCGGAATTTGTAAGTCCGAGTCTCTTCCTCAGGACAAGCCATCTGGATGCGCTGCGTGCGGGTGTGAGCAGGGATGCAGCGATAATCCAGGGCGTTCTGACGCCACCACTTCCCTCTGCCGATAGAGTTGGGAAGGAGGTGTGAGGGGACACACTGGCCAGAGCAGACCAGTTCCTTGACAGGCTTGATGCTGCGGCAAGGCCCCTCTGTGACATAGCGGGTGATTCGCATTTCTCTGCAGCTAAATTCAGAAGCATCTGTGAACGAGAAACACATTAATTACTACTTTCTTCCCCATCACTGAGAAAGCACTTTTTTGCTTCTGCAGCAGTTTCTAGCTCTGAGCTAGATACAAGCTGGACACCTTCAGTGGCAGATTTTGGGAAGAGTACCTCCAAAGACTCACTCGTACAGCTTCTGAATATTTGGTTATTCTAGTTATGAGACCCTTAAATAACAATGCACAAATCGATGAATTAAATCCTTTTCTTGCCATTAGGTAAATTCCATGTCAGGGTTGTGCAGGTGGGCAGTGAAGCTTCTTAAGTGTAATCCCAGCAGCAGCAGTTACTTCATAGGAAATTATGATGGGATTCTCTTGGCTTCATTTACCTCTGGGCAAAACCTTTCCCCCACTGCTCTGGTTCAACTGTTGATTCCAGAGGTTGATTCCAGATTTAAATTCTTTTGCTACAAAGCTGTTCCTTAGGTAATTTTTAACTAGTATAATGTGTTCCGAATTAGGGAAACTGTAGGTAACAACAGTGCTAAGGAATTGCCACTTCCCAGGCATTAGGTTTTCCAAGTTTACTGCTCTCTGTGATAATCACACATCCCACAAAATTTCCTTCGGACAGCTAGAGGCATCTTCTGGCTGATTAGGAACGTTACACTGGTTTTTTTTTTTACCTCCTTTTTCTCAATGGATAGCTATATGCTAATGAAACATTAGGAAAGATTTTTTTTTAGCACTAAAGATTTAGAAGAACTTTCCAGTTGTAGGAACAGACGTTTTCTGAAGGCACCTCATTTCTCAAGTGACACACTTAGCTAATTAGTTGTTTGGAAGACAAAGAATTTGATTTTTGAAGGTGTTTATCCAAGAATTTCATTGTGCTAAACATGTTCTTCTCTTAGTCAAAACGGGTAGCTTCAACTCAGGGACACTACTTGTGGTGGAAATCCTCAAAGGTCACCTTACAGACAGAAGGCTGTGCCTGGTAGGCCCACTTTCCTTGCGATGCACGGGGTGGTTCCCTCAGTACATCAAAAGAGAATTCTGACCCCAAATCATTAGGGATAGAACAGTATTTGTACAGACTTTTTAATTTTTGTTTTTCCTGTGAAGTACCAAACCATGATTTTTAGTGCTTAGGTATGTATTTATCAAAATACAGCTAGAAAGATTTCATTTTAAAACATTTTTAAGGACTGCTTTAAAGAACTTAAACAGTCCTTGTCATAATGCTGTGACAAATATGCTGACAACTGAACTCCATGTGCACTTAGTCTAATCCTCCCGAGTTCCCTTAGCATTTGAGAAAATTATGTCTATGTAAAAAATAATGCTCTGAATCAGGTACATTGTACCACCATAGCATATAGCAGATACAGTTAATCTTTAATAACTGTCCAGTCTCCTTCACTCTACCTTTCTTACATAAATGTCCTATCCCCTTAAAAAAATTATGCACATATCAGTGGGACTAATTCTCCCGAGTTGATGTCAGAGTAATAAGATGCTAAAAAATAAAGGTATTCAGATGTAACAACAAAACCAATCTGCCTTGACCTGGTGGTTGGTGGGGGTTGCCTGTGAGAAGCAGCATGCTCCTCTTTGTAGGGATTTAATACCCTTATAAAGTTGCACTATCAAAAAAAAAATTTTTTTTTTTTTTAAAGTTCTGTTAATGCTATAGTTTTAAACACCTTAACTGACAGCTGCAGCAGAAAAACACAATTCACAACTGGAATTGTCCCCAGAAAAAGAAGACTAGCTCAGGTCTGCAATGCATGATAGTGGAAACTAAATATGACTTATTGTGCACCTGGGAGCAAATGTCAGTCTGGAAGACCAAGTTAATCCCATTTGCCTATTTTTGAAAATACTCTGTTTTCCTTTGTCTGTGCTAACTCCCCATCTTCCATCTCTCTTCACAAAGCTTGTCTTTTGCAGCATTGCTAATGTTGGACAATTGGTCAAATGCAGTGACAATATATTATGAAGTATGTCAGTGCTCATAAGTAGCCAAACTGATTCCAAAGTTGCACATCTCTGCAAAATAAAGTTCCTTCCAATTCATTTGAGCATGAATTCCCCTTGGGAGTACTTTGCTAAAGCATGATTCATGACAGCTTTTTTTTTTTTTTTTCTGGAATCTGCCTGAAAATCTGGCTGTTGGCAAAAGACAGTGAGCAGCACACTGCTCTCATCTAGCTGAATGCAACCTCCATATGTTATTTTTGCTGTGTGACTCTTTCTAAATATTAAGAAAATATATTATTATCTGCACTGTCAACCTGTTGCCCCATCCTAGTATCAAAGAGAGAAAGATGAATTGTGGTATTTCTTCACAGTGCTTGCAAGCACAGAACACAGAGAAATTTTAGTAGTATTTCCTAGAGGCTTTATGTATTGGAGTTGTGTCTGCAGAGAGCAGCTGGACAAAATAGGAATGCATATTGTAGTACCTAAGGATTGCTCAATATATATAGACCGCATTTTTCATCAGTAAACTTGGATATATCCCTTCTTATTTTACATTGATACTTCTTCAACAGTAGATGTATATCCCTGTCAATTAGAGCATTAGGTCCTCACCTAAAGGTTTTAATAAATAACCATATATAATAACAAGTATTCTTTTACAAACTTTCTGTTAGGGCCTAAAACAATTATAATGATGTTATTTTTCTTACCGTTAGGGTCTGGAGCTTGTATGTGTCTTCCTCCATGCTTTGCCTGGTTCATTGTGTTGTTGTCACTGAAAGTCTGCTCCATCAGTGTGTCTGTATTTTCAGTGATCTCAGGAATGATTTCTGTAGCATCATTTTTAAGCATTTGCCACCCTTCCACAGATCGAAATGCAATTTGTATTAAGACACAAACAGAGCACACAGCCCAAGAGATCTGCATGGTGACAGCTCACAGATTAGCTTTCCAGCTCCCTGACAGTCTCAGATCCTAGGCAAAAGGCACATTATTCCCCTTTTTAAAATCCTCTTTAGAACCAAGCCAGCCAATGACTATACAAAGTGGGAAGGGCCAGACAACAACTCATTCATGTCAGCTTTTGTCAGTGTGAAATAAAATGTGTGTGTGTGGGTGGGTTAGTGACAATATTCTACAACTTATATGTAAAAAATTCTCATATGCACTTCTTTTTTGTGCCTGGCAACAATGGTGATTGACAAGACTATGATGAATTGCAACCTGACAAGTCTTTCTGCAGGTTTTTTTTTTTTTTTTTTTCTAACAATGGTATAATTAAAACCTGTTTCTCCCTCCATATTTGGATCTTTGGCTATTGTATTTTGCAAAGGATTTTAAAAGGAATTTTTATGGTTGTCCTTCCTCCCTTGCACACCTCCCTTCCCCTTCACCCCTGCAGTAAAAAGTAAGCAAATCTAGAAACTGTAATTCAGTAGTTATGCTTGTCAGTCTCTGCAGGCAAATAATTGGGGGGTAAGCTTTTTTTTTTTCCCTTTACAAAACAAGGAACTCTATGTTTCACAAATGTATTGGAAGAAACAGGAAGGAACTTCTTTTCAAAATTAGAAGTTGTTTTGTTTAATTTTCCTTAAAAAATGTGCTACTTGGAATATATTAGGGTAAACAGCCAGGAAATTGTATACCATAATTTTTTATGTACTCTTTCTCACATTTTTATCACTTTAAAAAAAAAAAAAAGTAATTTTCTTCAAATTCATTGCATACTGCTGACATTCTGCACAACTGTTGAATATAGGACATTTCCATATTTTAAACACAAGAACATGACCAGACTGATTTCCATTCATGATGCAACCAACAAGAAGAAAGAATTTATGACCTTATGTCTTGGGCACCTATGCCCAAAATGAATTCACGTGTCGTGTTTTTAAAATCACATTTATGGTATTAAGATGATAGTGGTGATACCTGCATCATCTCTTTGGCTCAAGACCACATACACTTTCAAGTTATTTGCAGATGATGTCAGGCTAAACACCTTAACTGGAAAGCATCTCAGCTTTTAGCAAGTTTAGATACTACATTGAGCTCATCATAGATACTTGAAAGCAAAATTTTCTTAAAGCAGTATGTGTCACTGCAATGTTTGTCACATACATCCTCATGAAAATATTTAATGATTCAAAAGTGATTCACTGTCTGACTTCTTCCTACTACTGTAAGACTCATTACCTAAGGCTTGCATTCCATTCTGGCAATTCCCCTGACCTGGCATGGAAAACAGGTGCCACCATATTTAAAGTGGAGGTCCCTTTGTGTGACCTTGATGATAAATCATGGGTTTAAAGAACAACAGTGTCCTGAGGACATTTCACCTCTTCAGCCTTACACACAGAGACGCAAACAACAGATGCACTACCAGTACTTGGCACATGAGCTTTAGCATAACTTCTCCGTACAATGGTCCTTTCCTAAAATAGCATCTGAAATATAATGTGACATGCTTTCCCTCCTACCATTTCGCTCTGTCCAGAATTATACAGACTAGCATTCTCAGAAGAACCTTCCTTTTCAACCATTCCAAAGAATTTCTAAAAGCAATTGTGCATTGCGGGCATACAACTGTGGGACCTTACTGTCTGTTCCCCTTTCTCCTTTCCTCAAGACCACATCCTATGCATTTTTTATGCATTTTTTTTATGCATTTTTATGCAGGTTTTTATGGAGGGATACAACATACTTATTATCTTTGTACAAGATGGGTGTTTCTCTTTTTTGTCCACAGCCAGTCAGAATATTGTTCTTTAATACAGACTGTTGTCACGTAATTTGCCTCGGATGGTCTGATTCCCTTTTCCCCATAATCCTCAGCAGCAGCAAAAGCACTGGTTATCTTTCATTAATAACTGTCTCCTTTACTCAAAGCAGTTAATAATGGTCTCACAAACACAGGAAACCAAAACACTCAGGCATTGCAAACACTTTCCCAAGCATAATTTTTCTCACTTATGAGTAAGTCTGTTTTTGGCTTAGAGCTACAGGTGAAGTCTATTCAACAAGGAAGGGATAAACAGTTTCTCAGGGGCATCACATGACTGTCCACCAAACAAAAAGGGTTCTGAAGAAAAGACAGACACCAGCTTGAAAAGCTGTGGAACCATCTTCCTTGCAGGTTTCTGTTGGTTGTGGGTCTTTTCTTTTTTTTTTTTTTTTTTTTTTTTTCTTCAAAGAACATGCTAGACTACCGTGATTAATTATACTTGAAATTGTATACAAAGATCTCAAGCTCTGCTTTCAGGCCTTAAAATATAGCTATTTTTCTTTTCTTTGGAAATACTGACATGTGATCCTCTAACAGCACTCAAAGGCCTAATTTCAATTTTAGTGTGTGTGTGTTTTTTTTTTTTTTTGTTTTGTTTTGTTTTGTTTTGTTTTGTTTTGGTTTGGTTTTTTTTTTAAAGTGAACAAATCAGGAAGGATGACCAGGAACTAAAGAAAGATTTTTAACTTGGTATTATTTTTGCCAGATAGGAGTATCACCTTGTATTGGTATTCACCAATAGTGACCTTGTACAAAGTGAGATCACAGCCTATGGCACAGTGGAAAACAGCTGAAAAGCAAAACAGGACAGCAGAAGAAAACTGAGTACTGGTAATCACTGAATCATTGCTACCTATTTGTTTCCCCTTTTTAAATGTCTTCAGAATTATATCTATCTATCAAAGCTTGGTTTCTATTCTTTTCATGTAATGTGTGCCTAGAGAATATTTCCAAAAGCTATCATTGTCAGTATAGGCCTAATACAGAGAACCACATTTACAGTAAGTAATTTCCATATAAAACAAACAAACAAAAATCTTGATGTGGCTTCTCCAAGTACTTAATCCCTTCTATTAACTCTCATAAAATTAACCTGCTTTACCCACTGGGAGGTATAAGACCAAAAAAATCTATGGAAGTAAAAATCAGAAATTATATTTAGCTTCTGGATTAAAACTTGTCCACAAGTTAGGAGGGAAGCCTAATAGAGGCAAGAAGTGAATCCAAATCCCTTAGATATTCAGTCTCCTTAACTACAAAAACATTCTTCAAAAAAATCCTCTGTGTGCTTGCCTCCACAGTACTTCTGCAGCTAAACAGACATTGTCTGGGCTGTAGCTCCAAACCAACAATTGATTTCTACACTGTTAATGAAACACATGAAGAAAGAAAAAAAATCAATGACACTTTTAGGATGAACCCTCACCCACTATGGTGGAGCTGAGCTTGGATTCTCTGTATTCAGAACTAGGATGCTCTTTTCTGAGCTGAAAAAACACCACCCACAGCCATACTCAAAATTAATCAGAAATATTAGAGGAGCAGGTACAAGGAGTAAATTAGCATCATACACTTGGCCTGATTCTGCTGATGCTGCTTTCTGAACTCAAGACTTCTGTCGTGATCTGTTTGCATTGCAACACTGTACTATGAAGGCATACACATATACACCAGTTTCTGAAATCAGTTCTGTCACTTGTAACTTCTGGTGCTCACCATGGACCCTGCTCTGCCCATACTTGGGCCATGTGTGTTCTGTTAGGTATCCAGGCACTAAAAATACACAAATGCAATTTAAGTGTATCTGTGGACAGTGGCTCATAATTTACACACTGCCCAGGAAATCAGTTTCAGACATGTTGAAGAACTTGTCTCCTTCTCAAACACTTCTTTTTCTAAGATGCTGCTAAACTACACTTACCCAAGCAACTTTTATCTGTCTCAGAAGAATTTTGCCAAGTCACATACTTCCTTGTCAATATATCAGTCTGAATGCTATATGATCTCCTCCAAGCAGCCAAGAATAAATGTAATCTTAGTATTTTCACACTGGAGACCAGCAAATGCACTGATTAATCATTCTAGTGGCTGCCTTTTTCAGTGATAAAACAAGAATACATTAGATTCACACAATAGCATTGTTCAGGGATAGAATGGTGACTATCTAGTGAAGAATAACAAGCCTACAGCTCCATCTGGTGAGTCAGCTAGCCAGCAACCTTGGCACACTGGAATTAAAATAAAACAAAACCCAACACTTCATTGATTTCCAGGATTTATTTGCAGAATAGAAGAAATTACTAGGATACTAATTCTCATGAACAAATCCTTTAGAAGATACCTTTCATGTCTTTTCTATTTTCAGTTTTACCCACCGGTGAAGGACAGAGACTAATTTTAGAGGAAAACTCCGTGCTATACTAACTGAGATTCCATTACATAGTCCCTCTGTGCTGAAAACATTATAGTAAACTAGGAGGACTAATTTAAAAACAGAAGGGGAAAAAAATCCTTCTAGTTATAGCATCAGAGATTTAATTAGTTCTGGACAACAGAAGACAGCTCAATTAAAATACTTATATTATGAAAACAAACATTGCAAATATCCTTCCTTCTGTTCTTCCTAGCTCAGCAGGAGGAAGATATATTTGACACAAGTTTGTTTTTCAACATGGACACCATGTAGCATTCTTATACATAGTACTTTCCATTTCAAAGCCTTTCTCAAAGATTAATTCATTCTCACATCACCAAGAGAGGTAAGCCATGCGTACTCATGTTGTAGGAGAAAAACATGTCCAGTACTAATAGGCTCAACAACCTAAGATGGAATGACAATAAAACATATTGTGGCTGCTAGTCTTGCATTTGAGTGTTGTTAATTCTAAGCTGGAAATAATGAAGTGTGCGCTTTTCAGCAGTGACATATTGCAACATTTTCTCATGAAGTACTTTGCTGACGTACCTATGGTTCAGAGTGGCATGCTAGATACAACATGTCATCAACACTGTAGTCTCAGCTGCCGCGCGAGTGGATGAAGAAAGCACTTGATAGATGCTATTTTTGCTTTGAATCTTAACTTTTAGTTACAAACTTCTCTCCCATGCTTGTGCAATGGCTGAGAAAGATTTAGTTCAGCATGAGAAGGTGAAGTTAGTTTTATCTCTCTCTCTCTCTCATATCATTTTATCTATCTTGACTTTCCCCTTTGTTCCTTGCTATAAAAATGCTAATAGCTTCTTGAGTCCACTTTACTTCCCTATCCAACTTTACTCTTTAAGTACAAAGTCTTAAGAAATTGCTTTTTCTTTCCCTGTGCTGGATTTGACATGGTAGATATCGCTGTTCTATGTCAGATGCACATTTTACAGAGACCCCATCCCTCCTTCAGAGTGCTATGTACACAAAAAGTACCTCACTGCTATTCAGGATAAACATACTAATGTAAATCCAGATCACATACTACGTTAGCTATAACCAAGAGATTTAAATTCATAAAATACAGTTTTGCTATGTGCAACAAATAATTGTTTTTAAAAATATTGTCCCCATTTTAGCATGCTTGTAAGGAACATCTCAGAACAAAGGTGCACGGTAATTTCAGAAAAATAAAAAGCATTCCTTCCAATACTTTCTCATTGCTATATTACAGGGACAAAAAAACTCCTTTCCTGTTTTTGTACAATCTTTCCTTCTACAATCAGAAAGAGAAATTTAGAACTATACAGCATATCATTATGTATGAGAGGAATTTACAGCATTACTCAATGTAAGCTGCACGGTCCGACTAATAAAAAGGAAGCATATGATCCATTAATGGAACAGCGGTCTGAAATCCTAACTATTTTTAGCCTACTCTAAAAGCAGAGATAGAAATGGTTTCATTACTGAGTCACCTATCAACAACTCAAAATAGGATACACTGTCTTAGAGCTCAATTTCAAATATCAATTTGTAGCATTGTCTTATTTATTCCTCTCCACCCTCATATTACAAAATGTTTGTTAAATCAGTTTTGTTACATTGAGATAAATGGGCCAGACTATCATTGAAGGTATCACTACAAGCTAGCAGTGTCCTATGGATTGAAAGAACGTCTTGAATATAAGAACAAACTCCTGTACGTCTTGATTTGTCAGTATTTCTTGACAAATAGAAAAACATCACCATAAGGTAAACAGACTCAATTTTAATAAACCATTCTGTTTTTAAGCTGACAATTACTAGCCTTCTTACAATCTATGGCAGAGTAACAAAAATCTAATGCTTAATGTTTTCCTAGCTCTTTCATGGACTGGAATTTTTTACTTCCAAGTTATAGATCAAAGACAAAGTGCATGCTCATGAATTTCATTTTTTTTTTCCTTCTGGTGCAGATAGGTCTTATGAATACGTGGTTTGAGATGAGATTAAAAAAAAATAAAGTCTATGCTTACAGTAAAAATTTTAAAAGGATGATTTATAAATAAGATTGCAGTGTGAAAAAGTCAGTATAGTAGAAAATAGAAGGCCAGTATTCCTATTCCCCAAGCTACACAGAATGAAAGTAGTATCTAGCAGTTTTGAAGAAGCAATTCATTTAATATTGATATAATGGAAGAAAGCAAGCAGGTATGTAACTAGCCAGTGCGACTGACTACTGCTCGTTATTACTGAGCTATACTGATCCAAAGAAAGCACCAGTACGAAGCGTAGGGAGGTGAAAGGAAACACTGTGTAGTGTTCCCCAGTTGTCCCCTTAAGCGCCACAAAAGAGAAAAGTCTACTTGACTTGGCAGTTCTCTTCTTGTGCAAGGTAAAAGAAATAAACCAGGTCTTCACCAGAATAATCACCTCTGGAGTTTAATTTCAAGAAAGGTATCTAGCTCTACAGAACTCCCCACCACCATTCACACACACCCACCCCTGGCCAAACCACACGACCCCAACAACTAGAAGTAAAACAACGTACGCCCTTTGTGGTTTTCGATTAGTGAACTGAATATACAAAACTAGATCTGGGCTTACATTTTACTAATTCAACAGTGTTTGTTTTAAAAATAGTGTTCTACATTAAAGCACAGATAATCTGGGAACATATATCTCAGGTTCTGTTAGTTTAACCAACAATTGCACATTTGCTGTAGGAGATCCTTGTTCTTTGAGTATATAGAATGCTATAAGTCACAGGTATACATTTACACACTGAGTCAGGCATGCTGTAAACAAAGCTCTCTCTCCTAGCATTGCAATGACTTGCTTCATTTGTAGGCCAAACAGAATCAAGACATCATTTATTTTAATAGGAAGGAAATGTTTCCTATTCTATGTGATATGTAACAACACTCATTTCTATTTAATGATACCATGCAAGCAATCCAAGAAGTCAAGACTGTACTTCTGCAAACTGCTTTGTAAGCAAACCCGTGCTGCCCTACTGGAAGTAATCTGCATATGTGCTCATTCCATTCTATGTTGATAAACAGTGACAGTAAAGAAGGGAGAGAGACACTGTAATTCAATACAACCCTCGGGAGCCATTATATTGTGATACTTAGGACTTTATCATACACCCAGTACAGGCACTCCGAAATACAGACATTATTTCTTTCTCACTCAAATTTCTTCCACAGCATTTGCTCTTGACATTTTTTTTCTAGTATGATTTCAAAACAAAAATTAAAGAGCATTTAATATCAGAATATTTCATGTCAATCACAACAGCAAGAGGTACAAATATTCTTGTAAATACAGTGTGCATCAAGATTTGGCTCTGAATGTCTTTACTACCACACACTATGTATTGCACAAATCCACACTAAACACAACACTGCATACACTTTATTTTACAAGCAAGTGCATCTGTGCATTTGTATATATGCTTGTCCCTTCCTTGAAGCTTCTACACTCAAACTTTAGGCACCTGTGTGCATGAAAAAGAAGCTTTAGAAAATACAGTACTTTGTTTAAGAGTGATGTGATGTGTTGGGCTCTCAGAAAATTGTGCTCTGGTGGGATACAAGACAAGGCTTAAATGAATCACACTCAAATGTCAATGCAAACCACACATCCTGCAGAGTCTGCAGGGGGCTCTGAAATACATGTGAAGACAGCTGTTATCCCTGGAGTTACATGCCCTAAAACCACCTCTTTATTGCAACAGCTCCAAACAGTGACACAATTTTGTGTCACCTTGAAAAATAGATCCAGAGTTTGAGAAAGATATGTTCACTAGACAAAAGCAGGAATTCTGCCTCCCTCACATTATGTGATTTAGCTTGGTGATTTGGGTTAGGGAATCTGAGGCACCTAAGATGTTCTCTGATGCTTTGAGAAACTTGAAAAAATACTATAGTGCTCTCTTCTAGGGCTTCAGTTTGCCCTCCTTCACTAATTGCTCATTGAGCTGGCAGAGCTGCCGAAGAAAGCCATCATTTGGGCCAATCTCTCGCTTCTGCCGGACAGTGCTTAATGCTGACTTGACGTCCATATTCTGGCGAAGCATGAGGTAAGCGATGACCAGTGTAGGAGAACGGCTGTAGCCCTCACGGCAATGCACAAACACTTGTCCTGCAGGGAAGACAGGTCATAATTTGCGTTATACTGGAATGAATGGTTGAAAAGCATCACAAAATAGCTAGGATATAAAGTGTAATAATATTAATCCTTTAACAGCTTGAGAGATGTAAATTCTGAATGCTACAGAAGACATGCAGAACTTAGAAGAAAGGTGCTATTATTCTGTTAGTAGCTATGCAGTCTGTCATCAAGAATAATACAGGAAAAAAAATGGTTGTATATCAAACTCACTCTGAAACATATTTACTACTGTCTTACAAGGAGTCAAACTGTGTCTATTTATTACACTTCACCTTTTTTTTTGTGGTTTAGAATAAGTTTTGCCCCTAGAGATGACCAGTACCAAAGAGCACAAATAAATAATGAAAAGTTTAAAATACACTGAAGACAGAGAAATTTGCTCTTTGTCATATATTGTATCTCTTCAGAGATATCCAGCGGTTTTGCTGCATTACTGCCAATGCTAACCCCATGTTGGATCATACCTGGCTACTTCTCTGTTTATGAAGCCACACTAACACTCAGGTAAATGAAATTGCTGACTGTGCAACAACAAGAAACAGCAACATCTAATCACACCTATGCCAGCACTCATGAAATGCTTCCAGATAACTAAGTAGGGACCTCATTCTATCTATTTGGTTGTATTGAGTTTGTGTGGCAAAGTTTTGGCAGCAGCGTGGGCTACAGGGATGGCTTCTGTGAGAAGATGCCAGAAGCTTCCCCCATGTCTAATACAGCCAGTGCCAGCTGGCTCCAAGACAGACTTGCCACTGGCCAAAGCTGAGTCCATCAACAATGCCAGTAGCACCTCTGTCATGACGTATTTACAAAGGGGGAAAAAAAAAAAACCAAACCAAACCTTCTGCACAACAGCAGCTGGGAAAGAGGAGAGAGAATATATGAGAGAAACAAATCTGCAGAAACTAAGGTCAGTGAAGAAGGAGTGGGAGGAGGTGCTTCGGCACTAGAGCACAGATTCCCCTGCATCCTGTGGTGAAGAGCATGGTGAGGCAGGCTGTCCCCATGCAGCCCATGGATGTTAATGGTGGAACAGGTACCCACCTGCAGCCTCTGGAGGACCCTATGCTGAAGCAGGTGGATGCCCAAGGGAAGCTGTGACACTATGGGAAGCTCACACTGGAGCAGGCTCCCGGCAAGACCCGTGGACCCGCGAAGAGAAGCCTATGCCAGAGCAGGTTTGCTGGCAGGGCTTGTGTTCCTGAAGGTCTACACTCCAAGGAAAGGACCCATGTGGGAGAAGTCCATGGAGGACTACCTTCCATGGATGGGATGTCACACTGAAGTAGGAAAGCAGATGAGGAGAAAGGAGCAGCAAACATGTGATGAACTGACTGCAACCCCCATTTCCCATCCCCTTGTGTCACTTGGATGTCAATGAGAGAGAAAATTGGCAGCGAAGTTGAACCCAGAAAGAAGGGAGAGGTGGAGATGTTTTTAGATTTGATTTTGTCATCCTACTCTGATTTGACTGTTAATAAATTAATTTCCCCAAGTCTAGTCTGTTTTGCCTGTGGTGGTAATTGGCAAGTGATCTTCCTGTCCTTATCTCAACCCATGACTCTTTCATTGTATTTTTCTCCCTGTGCAGTTGACGAGGTGGAGTGATAGAGCAGCTTGGTGGGCACCTGGCATCCAGCCAAGATTAACCTACCACATAGGTAAATTCTATAGGTAGGTATCCAACAGTAATACAAAAAGCCACTGCTCCCTTTCAGAAATCTAACTCAAATTTATTGCTTCTCAGCTGCTTCCTCTTTGACCTGCTTTTCCAGACCTAAAAAATTTCCCCTTCCCAAAGCAGTGGGAGATATGGCCCCAGGCTACTCTCAAGAGTAATATTTTTTTCTGAGAAAAGAGAACAGATGGACCATACACACACGCTTTCACCATAACTACAACTTGCTTTGAACCACAGCAACAGAGAGCCCATTACCACATCTGCCTCTAGCTGCAGAAGCTTCTCAGCTGAAAGCAAATCTCTAATCAGCAGCAACCCAAAAGAGCAAAACCAATTAATTCTTAACATTTCTTGAGAGCCGATGTCTGTAAATTAGCAAGATTTAGAGTCTTGATCATATACGTGGAAGAGAATTTGCTTGGAAACGATAAGAAGGAAAAGGGTTTTGAGCCTTTCTCTCTGAATGGCAGTGTCTTAAGGGCTGCCTTGCAGACCTTTCTTATACAAGACCTGCCTTCCAGAACTTCATGCAACTACGATGCTAAAATGAAGTTGAAGGAAAACACTACTGCATCTCTCTTCACTATCATTACTCTACACTTCAATGTCCAACAAAAGTATCAAATTTCAGTAGTGAGTTAGTCTTAAAACTGGTTCCAGCATCATCCTCTGTTTTTTCCACAGTAAGAAAACAGTGGCAGGCATGGTAGACATCTACTAAGACTGAAAGAATCAGCAAATTGACCTGCTCTGTAAATTCAACTTGAATCTGCAACTGTTTCTATCAGCGTGAGGAAAGTTGTGGCACAGCTGGCACTGTTTAACTCTTCTCTCCTACTGCAACCTGTTGCAGTGAGTCACAATGCTAACCGGGAGAGCAGCATGTCAGTTTTTAGAAATTTTCTTACTCCACCAAACTGGAAGTAAAATTTCTTTCCATCTGTCAAAAGCACATAACAGCTCTAGTACCCCTTTTGCCCATTTCAGAGAAAGAATTTCTAGAATTGTGGGAGCTCTTGTTCTCCCTTTTTCACCGTCAGTCATGAAGCAATAAAGAAATTAAGCATGTGTAGAAATAACTGGCATGCTGAAATAGTCACACAACAGCAAACACTGTCTGGCCCACTGGCCTATGTCCTAGGCTTTCTGCTCTAAGGAAACACATTGTAGAGAAAAGTGGCAATCAACAACATTGCAAATGTCATCTTCAGTCTTCCTGCAATCCTAGGGAATAAAGAGGTAATCATCACATAATATAAATTTAAAAGGCTGCAGTCTCTCTCCTTGCTGTACATTTGGGGAAAAAAAAAAGTTTGTGAGAATACTCTTCAGCAACACATTGCCTGTATCATTTCTGCCTTTAAATTATAATTTCTAGTGTCCTAAAACAACTTCTACACTCTGAACTTAATTTTATGTTATTTATCACTTCTCAGGAAAAAGAAGAACACATCTTCCCAGAAAGGCAGGATCATAGGATCCATCAGCTGTTTAACTTTTCAAAATCACCCCTACAGTGACAGACTTCCAATTGCCATCTGCCAGAGACCTATATGTATAGACAGAAGATTAAGCTATCTTATTTTCTGTTCTGGTGTCTTTGATCCAGAGCCTTGATCTTAATTCCTGACTTGGTTTTTCGGCTGATAATCTGATCAAAGAACCATTTTAAACAGTAAAATAAATTGCTAAGGAACATATGCAGTGCACAGAAAACATGGTAGAAAGATATTTCAGTTTGCCTTACCATCCTTCTGGGAAAGTGCTTTCTCAATAAAATCAGCTGCCTCCTCAAAATAGCGACTGAGGTTAAATTCTTGTGTATCGTTAGCTTTAATGCCATGGTATCTGATGCCTGTGCCTTCATAGAACTCTGCATTAGTGTTGACATGCATGAATGACTTCCCCTCTGCTGCATTCAGAACGTGGGTTATCCCCAGACGCTGCAGCCTCATAATGTTCTTGGCTATGAACCTGTATAATAAAGTGTCAAGAAAACAATTAGAACTTGGTGAACCATCTCAGTAATTACAAGGTCCCCAGCAGGTCTTGTTAACCAAACCCTTTCATTTTTATGTTAATAGATGCTAAGCATACTGTGCCCAGAAGTGAATTAGCTACAGATTAAAAATTCACAAAACTATTTAGAGCTATGGTCACTACTTGTGCCTGAGAGAACACTACTTTCTTGGCTGACAACCAAGCAGAACGCACATGAAACTTACTCTGTTAGACCCTACAGTGACATAAAATTATAACTCTTTCTGAACATAAAATTATGACCAAAGTAAGAAAATACCAGAGATAACAGGAGAAAAAACATGTTTTATCACACCATGTGGTTTCCTAGTAAAATCTGAGCCCACTGGTCAACATCAGCAGAATGTCACAGAAGGCTTTCATTGAACGGTAACTCAGTTCCTGCACTTTGTGAAAAGAGGTAGCCTAAACAGACATAAATCCCTTTATTGCTTTTAAAGTTGGTTTTTGCTATGTGTCTAACTGGCTGTGGAAACAGAAACCTTTTAGAAAAATATCTTTATGGCTCTAGTCATAACTTGCAAATACAAGGTATCTTAATATTAAGCTGAGCTCCAGTTAAGCATTTGTGCAGTATCTTTTTGGCCAAGTTTCTAAAAGATGGCAATGCACCTAATGGTTTCGGCTGGGCAATTAGCTATCCTAAAAAAGTTAAAATAAATATCAAAATCAGTTGGTTTATATCTATATGACTCTCTGAGTGCATTCACTCATCATTTTCACATAATTCAAGGCTGTATGAATTTCTAGAGCACTCCTTTCCTCCTAATGACTATAGTGTAACACAGACCCCATGAATTGTAGTATAAGCAGATGAATCCTTATGCATGAGTGAAGCTTCTACATTTTCTGCTGTCTGTGCCAAATAACTATGGCAATGAACCAAATATTTGTAAAGACTTCATTACTCAAACAAATGTTGACATATTTTCCATCTGGCAGGACATCATCTGTGCCAGGGGACAAGTATCAGTGCCTCAGGAATTCTGCTTGCAACACAAAAGTAAATCCTACAGTGCAAGGCCAAAACAAAAAGAGTTAATTCAGCTGTGAGTTCCTATCCTTAGTGGGCCGAGTATACCACTTAAGTAATGGTATATAGTGCACTATATATTTGATAGTGGCCAGGATCAATAGGAACCTGTGTTCTGGAATCATGGTTGAATCTGACAACACAAACTGGCCCTCCCAGACACAAATTCACTCCTAGTGAATGATTTTTGCAGATTTTATAAATTTTCTTATACAGCTAGAAGTGAGAGAGTATTTATATGCTATTTTTTTCTCCATTTCCAAACAGTCCTTGGTTCTCTCTCGTCCTTAACTTTTAATTCCAGCTGTATCACGTTCAATGTTAAAATGCTAGCTTCTCTGAACAGCAGAGATGGTAACATCAGCTTCTATTTCCCTATGACAAATCACAGAATGTTGTCTTTTCTCAATGTAGAAGATTCCTCATCCTGTGAGTAACACTAGTAAGAAGAATTTATTCTGAACAGAAATAAATAATTTTACCAGCCACAAAACACAGGTCTTAGAAAACCATATATCAGCAATAAAGGGTACATGGGGCTATGAAGTATTGCCATACAGGATTATAAGCAAATAATCCAAGTCCTTAATGGCAAAAAATGCCAGCATATTTATATATTTTAATTTCTGCTATTACAGTCATACAAAATCGTTTCCTTAATGCTTCTTCCCTTATAGTCCCTACATTTAGTATTAAATTTGGGAGAATGCTTTTCATACCCCTTATAACACACATGCACTTCTAGCACATTAGGAACAAAGAATTGCTTCAAGGGTTACCCACATACACTAAACCTGACAGAAAACAGATTGGGCATTTATAACCGGAACCATTTAACCAAATAAAGTTCTGGAGACATGGCTAAAATTGTTACAGGCTTCAAACAGGCTGTGAAACCAAACCAAAATAAACCAAACCAAATCAGATTCCCTGTGCAAGTAGTTCAGAAAGCTAAGCTTGTTTGCTTTCTGGTAAAACACTGGTTTTCACAAGACACAGTTCCTCTGAATAGAATCCCTACCCTCCAGTGTCTTAACTGACTCACCCTATTATGTTGTCATCTGCAGCCCTGATGAAGATGTCTTTTGCCAGTTTAATTGCACATTGTCCGTTAGTCCAACTAACAGTTAAACTGTTCTTATGCTACCAATTGCACTAGTGCTCTAGACATTTTTTGGTTGTCAATTATTACATAAAATGCCCTTCTCAATGGCAAAACTTGCCACTACATTGACATTTTCCATCGTGTAACTTACATAGGCATTCTCTGTTCCTAGACAACCTTGTATCTGAATGTATTAAAGTCCATACTACATAATTAAAACCAATGAACAAAGAAAATTACTCTGTAGGAGCCAACTATCTTAGAAGGATTAAAAAAAAAAAAAAAATTATTATTTAGTGTGCAAAGCACTTTGCAGGCTCTCATTTCATTTGTTCCAGGTAACTACTAAAAATATGGTGGCTGTCAGACTGGCCATTCAGATAATAATTTCAGTCCTATCTGTAGATGTGCATGTCCTGCACCAACTGGCAGTGACAACCATAATTTGGCTTGTCTTAGGAGAAAGTTAATGAAAAACTATGGGTTTAACTTACATTTATTTAGGAGTTACAGGCTTCAAATAAGAACAGGGATCCAGCACGCTACACACATATCAAGGAGTGGCTAATGTTGCAGAAATAAAGTGTACAAAGATGCACAAAGAAGGGAAAAGGAATCAGCAGGATATGACAGGATTGGAACATAACTGAAAGCATGATCTGGGTGCAAGGAATAAACATACTACAACTGAGAAAAGAAGTGCTATTGGTGAACCCTGAACACTTTTCCCCGTCGGCTACTATTAAAGTCTTGTTTCCTTTAAATCATTTTGTGCACGGTTAAACCAAGACCTCATGTACATATTGCTGCTTTGCTCGGTTTTTATGTTCCAGGTTATTCTACTCATCTGACACACACTTATTACACTGTTGTTACGATCAGGCTTCTGCAGATGCTATACACCTCATGGCATCTTGTCTCCGTGTGGATGACCTCAACTGTTAGCAAGACTAGGAAGTAAAAAAAAGCCCAGTGCTGTCACTGCCGAGCAAGTGTGTTTCATTCTTGAGCAACTTAATTTTATCATTGTTTCAGCCTAATTTTAGCTGAGATTTGAGACTTCAACAAGGTACCGAATCTTTTAGCACATGCCATTTATGAGCTGTGCCTCGTCATTTGCCATGTCAGAAACCAGCAGAAGCCCTAGGCAGCCTGCTGCCAGGCAGCTCAGGCTTTGCAGCTACAGGCCCCCGGGCTGGCAGCTCCCCTGAGCTCGAGACTCCCGGGCTGTGCAGCCCAGGCCAGGCTCCGGCGGGATCTAGCAGATTTCTCCCCGCAGCCTGACTCTCTCCGGCTCAAACTCCCGTTCAAGCGGGCTCCTCAGTGGCCGTCCTGCGTCTCACAACTCTGCACGGCCTGCCCGAACCTCTGCGCTCAAGTGCCGACGAGGACACCGCTCACAGGCTTACGAACACCGAACCCTCCGCCGCC